CTTGCACTAACCCTACCATTCACTAAAATTAGAGAGAGTGAAAAATAATGTTATTTCAGCGGGAGAAGGGAGGAACATGATTCCTCTAAACTAAAAATACAATATAAATTAATATTAAAAGATAAGGATGAGGTGGGGGTGCGACCTCCAACCCAGAGCTCAGGCGGATAATCTACTTTACTCTACACTCCACTACAACTACACTAGACTTGAGTGGAGTGTGAGGTCATGTTGTAGGCCCCTTCCCAGAGCTAAGGAAGGATAAGCCACACTACACTACACTACACTACACTACACTAGAGTGTGAGGTATGTGGTAGGCCTCTTCTCAGAGCCCAGGATGGGGCAGGCAGACTACACGACACTACACTACACTACACTACACTAGAGTGTGAGGTAGGTGGTAGGCCTCTTCCCAGAGCCCAGGATGGAGCAGGCACACTACACTACACTACACTACACTACACTAGACTACACTAGAGTATGAGGTAGGTGGTTGGCCTCTTCCCAGAGCCCAGGATGGAGCAGGGAAACTACACTAGACTAGACTACACTAGAGTGTCAGGTAGGTGGTAGGCCTCTTCCCAGAGCCCAGGATGGAGCGAGACAGACTACACTACACTACACTACACTAGACTACACTAGAGTGTGAGGTAGGTGGTAGGCCTCTTCCCAGAGCCCAGGATGGAACAGGCAGACTACCCTACACTACACTACACTAGACTACACTAGAGTGTGAGATAGGTGGTAGGCCTCTTCCCAGAGCCCAGGATGGAGCAGGCAGACTACACGACACTACACTACACTACACTACACTACACTACACTACACTAGACTACACTAGAGTGTGAGGTAGGTGGTAGGTTTCTTCCCAGAGCCCAGGATGGAGCAGGCAGACTACACTACACTACACTACACTACAGTAGACTAGACTACACTCGAGTGTGAGGTAGGTGGTAGGCCTCTTCCCAGAGCCCAGGATGGAGCAGGCAGACTACACTACACTACACTAGAGTGTGAGGTAGATCTTAGGCCTCTTCCCAGAGCCCAGGATGGAGCAGGCAGACTACACTACACTACACTACACTACACTACACTAGACTACACTAGAGTGTGAGGTAGGTGGTAGGCCTCTTCCCGGGGCCCAGGATGGAGCAGGCAGACTACACTACACTACACAACACTACACTACACTACACTACACTACACTACACTACACTACACTATACTACACTAGAGTGTGAGGTAGGTGGTAGGACTCTTCCCAGAGCCCAGGATGGAGCAGGCAGACTACACTACACTACACTACACTACACTAGAGTGTGAGGTAGGTGGTAGGCCTCTTCCCAGAGCCAAGAATGGAGAAGGCAGACTACACTACACTACACTACACTAGAGTGTGAGGTAGGTGGTAGGCCTCTTCCCAGAGCCCAGGATGGAGCAGGCAGACTACACTACACTACACTACACTACACTACACTAGAGTGTCAGGTAGGTGGTTGGCCTCTTCCCAGAGCCCAGGATGGAGCAGGCAGACTACACTACACTATACTACACTACACTAGAGTGTGAGGTAGGTGGTAGGCCTCTTCCCAGAGCCCAGGACGGAGCAGGCAAACTACACTAGACTACACTAGAGTGTGAGGTAGGTGGTAGGCCTCTTCCCAGAGCCCATGATGGAGCAGGCAGACTACACTACACTACACTATACTACAGTAGACTGTGTTGTTGGTGGTAGGAGTAATCCCACAGCGCCCTCGAAGGCGCATAGTCAGATTAGACTAAACTAGTCTATAGTAGACGAGATTAGATTAGATTGGAGTGTGAGGTTGGGCGTAATTTTCTATCTGCAGATCTATCAGTGAATGCAGTGCAGACTGTTCTTCCATCCTGTCTCCAATTTCCTGCTCTTTTCCATAACCATGTGTTGCTTTCCCATAGTCTAGTTGTGTCACACACCTCTCTTCCCAGCCGTCACAGACCTGAAACACATGGTATGGTTTAGTTGCATATTAACAGTGTTAGCTCAACACCAACCTTTGATTTTCTTCTCTCAGTTGTCCCACCTCTGGTTATTTTCATGTACGTCCAGGGCCTTTGAGCTTGGGCATCACACTGTGGCCTTGACCTAGAGAGAACCAGGGAGCTGTCCGTTAACTGTGGTCACAGCCTCCACACCATCCGCCTTTTCCAGTGACCGGCTGTTGCTGCCTCAGGTGCTGTCATGTACGGAGCTTAGCAGTTCCCCGCTCAGCAGAGAGGATTCTGAGCCGCACTGCCCTCCTGGGGGGACGGTGCAGTACGTGCTGGGTTTCGTTTTCACCTCCACAGCAGTGTAGTTCCATGTTTGTGTGCACACAGCCACATAGGACCTGTGCGTGTGTGTCGACCTCCACACGGTTGTCGTGGAGTCATATTCAGCTTCTGGTCCTTTCTGGTTCCCAGTTCATTCGCTGAAAAGCACTCACACCCTGGGATGCCCTACGCACAGCTCGCTGCCTCTCTGCTTTTCCCTCGGCAGGGATGCCCTTCCCGGGGACACCGCATGTGTCCCTCAGGGAGCCCCACCCCCTGCGGTCTGACTAGGACAGGTGTCGCCCCCCTGGTGCAGACCAGGAAACCCAGGCCACTTACCCAGGTTTGACCAGCAGGCGGAGGGCAGAGCTGGGATTCAGACTCAGGTCTTTGGCCGCCTCACAGGTGCGCCTCGGAGCCCCAGCTGTGACCTGGCCTGGCCCGTCCCCCCTGTGGCCGTGGGAGCCAGACAGTGAGTGCTCTCTCCCCTACAGGCTTCATCCCCCCTCCTCTCATCTTCGGAGCTGGCATCGACTCCACCTGCCTGTTCTGGAGCACGTTCTGTGGGGAGCAGGGCGCCTGCGTCCTCTACGACAACGTGGTCTACCGCCACCTGTACGTCAGCATCGCCATCGCGCTCAAGTCCTTCGCCTTCCTGCTCTACACCACCACCTGGCAGTGCCTGCGGAAGAACTACAAACGCTACATCAAGAACCACGAGGGCGGCCTGAGCACCAGTGAGTTCTTTGCCTCTACTCTGACCCTAGACAATCTGGGGAGGGACCCCGTGCCCGCCAGCCAGACGCATAGGACAAAGTTTATCTATAACCTCGAAGACCACGAGTGGTGCGAGAACATGGAGTCCGTTCTATAGCGACTCAGGGGGCGAACTCTGTCTAGCAATCAAAGGGTCATTTTCCTACAAAAAGAAAAAAGGTTTCCAAAAACCACACACGCACGCACACACACACACACACAGGACTTTATCCTTTTCTCCAAATCAGAGCCAGACGGCATTCAGAATGAGGAGAGCTTGGGACCACGTGTCTGACGCGTGACCTACCCGCTCTGGGATCCAGCGCGGGGTCTCAGGATGCCGACAGCTGCAAGCAACGGGCACTGCCAAGTTCAGGGAACCGTGGTGGCCAGCTCGGAGGACGGACATTCCTGAACACACATACAGCATACAGACAAAAGACAACTATTTTTAAAGAAAGTCTACTAAAACCACACGTTGACAACATGGCCAGGAAAAGCACTAGTGACACCCCGAGCCCCTCCTCCCGTGGGGGCGGGGGGCGTGCAGGCGGGAGGGCAGCCCCCCCTCTCTAACTTTCGCAATATGGGTCACTGTGTAGACGCCTCACCCGGTCTGCATGTGGTTCAAGGCCCGAGCTCTCTCAGCGATGCTAACGGGTGATCCGTGCTGGAGTCTGTAATTGGCACCTCTCACCAGCTCCATTTCCATGTTCACGACCGAGGGCCCGAGGGGCCGGGTGCAGGGCCAGCACCTCACCTGCCCCCGGAGCGCCTCCCAGGGGCGGGGCCCAGCCCCGCAGAGCGACCTCAGGAAGCAGGGGCCTCACTGGCTATGACTGGCTCCTCTCAGAGCCGGTGAAACCCAACCCAGCCCAAGTCATTTGCTTACATTTGCCAAACATTTTGCCATTTTTTAAAAAAAATAATGCAATGCCTATGAATTTCCAACTGTTGTATGTATAACCCTCTGATACTATTTTTAACGACTGAACCTGTGTTACCCTCCAGTCACTGACACAGTTCTTAGGCCGGATTTCCTACGCTGGTGGCTTTCACTTTCTCCCTTTTTTAATGCACCAAAAATACAATGTGATTCAAGGGATGAGATGAATCTATTGTAATTTTTTATCATTTTATCCTCATTCGGACATTGTGCAAAAACAAGACTTTACAATGTGCGACAAGTAGGAAAAAAGTGCTTGAGGAGAGCGTGGCTGTGCAGCCGCCTCTGGAGGAGCCACGTGGGAGACAAAGGGGGGGCCGTGCGATGAGCTGAAAATCCGCCTCCCGCTCTCCCCGGTTCCGTGACGCCTGTCACAGGTCCCTGTGTGTGCTCCATGTCCCATGAGGCGCTCGGGCAGCCCGTGGAGGAGACACCCGTGGGTGTGGGCCTGTCCTCTGGGGAGCAGACACAGCGAGGCCTGAGGGGTGTGGTCATGAATAAGCCCACAGGCTCCTGGACGCTACTGCACGTCCAGCGCACTGGTGTCAGTGCGGGTCTCAGGGTCGCCCTTGAACTAAGAGGCGTGTGTGCGTGTGTGTGAGCTGACAACCTCCAACAGCTCACAGCGGCCCTGTCGCCGTCTGGGTAAGAGTCATAGGAAAACCTCTTGCAGCAGGAGACTGGGCCTTGGGGGCCATTCCCAGAGCTGTCGGGACAGCTGTGTCAGCGCACATGCACACGCACACGCACACGCACAGCCCAGGTTACTGACCTGTCCTCCTTCCTCAGTGACCTTTGTCCGGGCTGACCTCGACCCTGGCAAGGACCTCAAAGGTTGGTTGCTCGCTTTGCTTTTCTGCCTCAGGTACATAGTTGCAGTCACAGAGAAGGAAAAAATAAAAGATTAACGAAAGCATCGGGGAGGAAAGGGTGTTGTGCCCGTTTTTTAACAAGCACACAAGCACCGTGCAGGGGGCGGCTTGAGGGACAGCCCAGGCCAAGAAAGCTGGTGCGGGGTGTGGGGTCCGCTGCCTGGGTGTGGGGTGCGGGGTCTGGGGCAGGATGCTTCGAAACGGCCTTTTCCCCTGGAGCGTGTCTTCTGTCCTGGTTCACTCACCAATGTGTAACCAGCAAGAGGTTGGGTTGTTCTCCAGCTAATTCATAAAATCTAATGTGGCTCAAAAGTAATCATCAAGGCAGTGCTGATTAAAGTACATTTCATTTTCATATTGTGCTGCCAGCTGCTGCCGTGTGCATGCATTTTGGGGGACACCCTATGCACCCTGTGCAGAGGAAGTACACACGTTCTTAAGACTCTCTTGGCGCAGGAGGGGGGGATGGGAGGGGTGAGGACCTGCTTGCTGCCTTCCTTCAGCCCAGACTGTGCGCTTGCCCCCTGCTCCACGCCTCCCAGGGAGCTGGGACGCCCCTGGGACCTGTCGCTGCAGACGGCCACAGCAGCCCCCTCTCAGGGCCCGAGGAGTCTGCTCGTGTGTAACAGGCAAATAAAGAGGGAAAACTGAGAGCTTCCATGGAGCCCTGTCACGCTCTGTCCTCCGAGCAGGAAGGAAGGCGTGTGTGCGCTCCATGCACCTGCTGCTCTCGCCTCCTTGCAGCTCGAAGCGTCCTCTAGAGACCGTTTCTGAGGTTGGTCGGGCGGCAGCCCACATGTTCACACGCCGACCCCACCTCCCTGCCTCCAGGAGGGGCCTAGAGCTGCCCCTGCCTCAGGTGCCGATTCCCCATCCGCCTGCTGCACACACCTATTTTGACAGCGTGAGAAAAGCAGGTATCTGTCGAGCAGCCAAGAGCACATACCGGACACATAGTAGGGCTTCAGTGCTCCTCTGAGTCTACCCACCACCCTCTCAAGGGCCTGCCCTCAGCCACAACCTGGTCACACTCTAGGCGAGAATCCAGGTTTCCCGAGAGAGGGTGCTCCTGACATTAAATTCCACCTGGAAACCTCATTGGGGCGTAACTATTGCCCATGTCTTCTCGTCCATGGTCCTGGCCCCTCCCTGCTCGGTCCGGGCTCTGAGCAGCTGCAGGGCTGACTCCTCTCAGAGCCACTGGCCCCGAGGAAGCCTCTGGTCCCCATCCCGCTGGGAACGATGGGGCTCCGGCTGGGACAGCAGAGAAGGGCCTTCTGTCCAGATGCCGCTGCCCAGCATCACCGGGCATCTCCTGCGTGTGCACAGCGACCCCACATCCCGCTCCCCACCCCGGTGGGTGACCTCACAGGGCTGGGCCATCACAGCACCGACAGCCCGAGTCAGAAAGCCTAAGAGGGGACTCAGAAAAGCAGACGCCCGGACCTCAGAGACCTGTGCTGCCGTGGAGACGGACACACCACTCAGAGCACCGGGGAGTGGGG